GGCCCGTTCTCCCTCCAGAACGGCCCGTTCTCAGCTACGATTTACTGGTCATTTTAATAGCTTGGAACGGCCCGTTCCAAATTGGGAACAACCCGTTCTGGGCTTCTAAAACACCAACTTGCTACGTCACACAAAGTTCCCCTTATAATTTACCAGAGGTAATGTCTCTCTCTATATTTTTAAATAAAAATAAAATAAAAGAAGAGATGGAGTTTAAATAGAGATAATTAATATAAGGGATCAAAACTCAATGTAGCGGGTATTAGTTTGAAAAGTAAAAATTTTAATTAAACAAGCGATTTTACTTTTGGGTTTATTAACTAAGAATCAAACTATTTTTTTTATATGTAGTTAATTTTGAAATTAGATTATATATGTAGTTGGTGGAACAATTTTATTTATATGAAACTAGAAAAAATAAGTCACTTCATGTCATATCATAAAAAATGAAAAATGTAATGATGTGTCATGATTGTCACACTACGGAACAACACAACACACTACTAAAATATATAATAAAATAGTATAATAAGAATACATAAGTTGCTAAGTAGACAACCAAAAAAATCTAACTATATATAACAAAATATGCTACTAAGGTAGCCTACAAAAGAAACATATATATACTCCAGACACCTCTTGTAGCCTCTAGCAGCTATCTCCCAGCCTATCCTTATCCTGTTCCCATACATCGTATAATCATTGCAGTCCAAACCACATGAAAACATGTAAGGGTAAACTATTGAAAATAAACAACACATATATAGGAAAAAAACTTACAACACTAGCAACTTAACATTGCTATCATCATCAACTAGTTCAACATAGAACACATAACACAGGCAACTTAGCATCACTGTCATCATCTTCATCAACTTGTTCAATATACAACACATAATACTAAAACAACATATGAATATAAAAGCAACCTGCAATACAACATCACTACCAACAATCATAGCTTATTCATCATGCAACACACAACACATAGACATCACACATCTCAACAACACTTTCATAACACATCAACACATACAACTCATATCATCACAATATCAACTCGTCAACACATGCGTCGTCACGCATTTTAACTCAGAGATCTCCTAAAACACAGGGTGAGCAGTCTAAGTGGTTAGGTCCTACCGAACCGACATATAACCTTTTTAAGCTTGCTAGGTAAACAATAAATTTGGATAAAAATCTACAATATGATAACGGTTTCTCAGGCTTTGCCACTTAAACAAGGAAATATAGTACAATGTCAGGATAGGACAATTGGGTTTAGCCCTATCATGACATTAGCTAGTTTAACTAAGCCACCAATGGGATTAACCTACTGACTATCTTCCAAATACTACAGTCCTTTGATACTCGCCTAGGAACTAAGTTCTCAACTTCGTATTTTACTCAAATTGGTTGCTTGTAATTGGTATAACTCGACCTTGCCCCTATACCATGGTTGCTTCATATACGTGTGTCTCGACTTTGCCTACACATAGGACAAACTAAGTCCTAGAGGAGAACAACACATCAACCACTGCAAGGGACAACTTCTCGAGGAGGGTTTTCAACAAACTAGGCTTTCAAAGCACCACAACTATCTCAATCCGCACAATGGGATGAACAACTTCAAAAACATCTCCCCTAATCTTAGTGATTCGCAACTCATCATCACAGCAAAACAACACAATTATCATCTCATCAGCTTAATTATTAGTTCATTTCAACTTTAAAAAAGACAATCAACTTCAAAGCTTAACCATCACAAGGTAACATCTTTTCATCATCTCAACACCTCTACACACTTGATGCTTCTCACAACTCACAACATTATCACCTCATCATATTTCACAACATATAATTAGTCAACACACAACATACAACAACTTTAACAACTTAATTTCAATATGCTTCAACAATATCATTTTTCCGACATATAATAGATCAACACACAACTTGTAAACAAATTCAACAACATACAACATATTCAACACATAATACAACTCAACTAATCATGTTTAAAATTCATCTGTCATGCCAACTTATACAACTAAACAACATAAATCAATTTAAGCACCCAAAACAACTTTTAACTTAACCAAATCACTTATTGTGAAATGACATCCTTGACATAAAACAACATATATGAAGTTATACTACTTCTATCATTTAAATCCTTAGCTCATATATCAAGTCCTAATTCCATCATCTACCTTGTTAAAAATGTAAAAACCACAACAAATAGCCTAAATCCTGATAACTTGACCTTTGCTCACTAAAAAGGTCATAATTGGAGTTCTAGACCTCCTTTTTTGGGTGATTCCAGCACCATTGAAAAGTTAATATCTAAGGCTACAACTTTCATGAAGACAACAAAGTCTAATTTGGAAAGCACCAAAGCAATCAACACCTCCCAAAGCACTTTACCTCTAGGGATCCTCCCTGTCACGCGACCCCCAAAGGGCTTAGCCTTTTGAAACGGCTCAGCCGTTTCAAGAAGTGCTCATTCGTTCATAATAGCTCAGCCCTTTGCCTCCAGGAATGCTCCCCTATCACGCGACCCCCAAAGGACTCATCCCTTTCAAACGACTCAGTCGTTGAAGACAGAGGGCACCCATGTTCTTCACCATTTTCACCAAAACCATAAATGCAAGTTTACCCGATTCATGTAAATACATCAATGCAAGAAGATCCAACACAAGAAATCATCAATTTTTAACACACAACACAACTATGCAACTAAGAAATCATCAAAAATACCATATGCAAACATCAAACAACACCATTTCATCCCATTTTCAACTCTTCCCCAAAACTCAACTTTCCAACTCTCACTACACCATTCATCCACATTTTTCCGAACACAACACCCAAACCTCACCTCATGCTACACTCAACACGAATTTAGCAAAATCACTAGCTTTCCTTACCTCGAAGAATGACGAATTTGGGTCTGAGCTCGGGAAAGAGAAAGATGAAGAAGAGAAATATTCAAGCTTCTAGCTAGTAACTAACACATCTATTCAACACTTTCAACAACAACAACACAATAAGGGACTTTAACAATTTGGAACAAGATAATAGAAAGTGAGGAGAAAATGAAATGGTGTCGAGAAAAGAGAAAGGAAAAGGGTCTTACAAAAAATAATTAAACAAATTAATTAAGACATCAAAAAATTGAGTAAATAAATTTGTTAAAAAATTAAAAAATGTGAACACTGAAACAAAATATTATTTTTATTATTAAAGATTAAAATACTTTGTACATACTATTAAAACATATAATAGCGTAGTTTATAAAATTAGTTATGACAGTAAATAATAGTTATGGAATAAAACAGTAAAAATAATGTGAATTTTGAAATGTGAGTATTACAATAATTATAATAACTTATAAGTGATACGCAAACAAATAACATCGGTGATTAAATATATTTTGCTTTAGAGAAAAGAGTTTATTGTACTGTACATACAATTAACATCATGGAAAAAAAATGTATTTCCACATAAGTTTTATACAACTGTCATCTAAAGAAAAACGTTTGCAAATTTTTAAAGGAAAAAGTATATATATGATTCAATTTATTTTTCTTTTAAGAATCAAATGTCGTCGGTCCAAATTGTTTCCACACTTATGTTCTTTACTTAAAAATTGAGATTTAATAAAAAATTTATTTTATTTTCATAGTACTCGACTGTGTGACGTCTTCATGAAAAAAAAATAATTACTCAAAAAATTACATCTGTGATCCTTTTGTTTAGCAACAGTATCAGAAATAAAAGAGGTATTTAATATTCAGAAATGATGCATCCTCGGAAATGTTTTGGCCAAAAAATTCTCAGAACGTTTAAAATTTTAAAATAATAAAATTAAAAAAATAATTTATTTCAAATATTGTACAAATATAAATAACTAAATGATTCAGAATGTTAATTTGCAACTTTGATTCAGAGTCCACAACATTACTCATTTAATATTATAGGAATGTTATTGCAGAACTTGGTAAGTGTTGGGTGTGGGCCCAGTTATCATTTACCTCACCGAGTCACCAGACAGTGCCAGTGATTGCAGGTGAAGAAGTAATTGAACTGTTTGAGAAATCTGTAAATAAGAGAAAAATAGTACTGATGACAAATTTTGAGATTTTACCATTTTCTTTCAAACTTCAAAATTATGATCCAAAGTAAGTGATAATGAGGATCCATGATGGGCTTTAAGCTTGTTTCTTTTCAGTCTTGGATCATCATTGTGTCACGTGAGAATTTAAGTTCAACCGAGATAAACAAAATTTAAACTACAATGGTCCCTCACAAAAAAAAAATGTTAACAGTGGGCCGGCCCAACCTCTCTGCTGCTTCAATGAGGAAGGTACATTTTTGAAACTAATATTTAAGCTTGCATATTTTAACGGTTAAATATTTCTTATATAATAAAATTTTATAATAATTTGTATATAAATAAATATTATATTTAAATATACAATTATATTTAAAACTATTATAAATAAATATTTTTAAATATATAACTTATATTTTAAATTTAAGATGAATAAATATATTATTTTAATTATTATTCATTTTAAATATTAAAATTTAATTTATAAATAAATATTATTATTTTTTTAATATATAGGAGTTATCATTTCAAAAAACACTTCCATGGAACTGTAACTCTTAAAAATGTTTCTCTGCAAGATAATTGTTTAATATATAAGAGTTAATTTCGTTGTTTTTCATAATAAAAAATTACCTTTTTTTTTACACAATAAAATTATCCTTTTTGCTGCTATTTAATTTCTCCATTTAGATTAATTTCTCCTTTTTTTTATTTTTTAGTTCATGAATGATTTCGGTTATCCTGTTTTTAATTGTTTATATTTAATTTTGTTTATTTTTTAATTATTTAAAATTTCTTATCTCAAAATTTATTAGAACTGTTGCACGATCAACACTATGATGAGAGGAGGAAGAGAAAAGAAGGAAAATAAACTGAATGAAAATACATTTGTGTTATTATTTTAGAATAGCAAAGTCAATATATATACAAGGGAAGGAAAACAGAAAATAAACAAAAATAACTAACTGTATAAGTCATATAAATCCAATACTCCCCTCAAGATGGGAGGAATATGTTCTCAACTCCCAGCTTGGACAATATGTTAAGAAACACAGTACGGGGTAAGGACTTGGTGAAAATATCAACTAACTGATGATGTTTTCTGACACGGATTAACTTGAGAGCACCTTTGTCCACTTGTTCCCTTACATAATGAAGATCAATTTCAAGGTGTTTAGTTCTTTCATGATATGTGGGGTTAGAAGCAATGTAGATAGCAGCCTGGTTATCATAGTAAATAGTAGCATATGGAATATGAATGTTGAAATCAATCAGTAAATTCCTCAACCAAGTTAGCTCAGTAGAGATAGATGCTAGAGATCTGTATTCTGCTTCTACTGAGGATTTGCTAACAGTATTCTGCCGCTTAGCTTTCCAGGAAACAAGAGAATTTCCAAAGAAAACACAGTAACCGGTGGTGGATCTTCTACTATCAACGTAGGAGCCCCAATCTGCATCCACATATACATGAATTTTAGTGTCAGAATTGGCCTTGAATAAAATTCCTTGACTAGTAGTGTGTTTAAGATATCTCAATAGCATATGAGCAGCATCCATGTGACCAGAATGAGGATCAGAGACAAACTGACTCAATTTGTGAATAGTGTAGCTAATATCTGGTCTAGAAATGGTTAAATACAAGAGCCTCCCTATAAGCCTTCTATATACACCTGGATCAGAGAGTTTTACGCTAGATTCAGCATGCAGTTTCAAAGAAGCTTCCATAGGAACAATTGAGGGTTTGCAGGCCAGCATTCCACAATCTTCAAGAATGGAAAAAGTGTAATGTCTTTGACACATGAAAATCCTTGACTTAGATTTTGATAGTTCCAAACTCAAGAAAAATTTTAAATCACCTAGATCTTTCAATTTGAAGTATTGGTGGAGCATGTCTTTGACAGAGGTGATAGTAGCAAGGTTTGGACTAGCAATAACAATGTCATCAACATAGACAAGTATGGCAATGAATGTTGAATTGGTACCTTGAGTGAACAAGGTGTGGTCATACTTGGACTGGTTGAATCCCTGAGAAGTTAGTGTGGTGCTGAATTTATTGAACCAACTTCTTGAGGCTTGTTTAAGGCCATATATAGACTTGTGTAGCTTGCATACTAAGGGGGCACAGGAAGTAAGAAGGATGTGATGAGGATAACCTTGAGGAATTTTCATGTAGATGTCCTCAGCAAGGCTACCATTTAGAAACGCATTGTTGACATCAAGTTGAGCAAGGTGCCAATGCTGAGATGCTGCAACAGATAAAAGTAACCTTAGAGTGGTTATTTTTGCGACCTATGAGAAAGTTTTTTGAAAATCCAATCCATATTGTTGAGTGAAGCCTCTAGCAACTAATCTGGCTTTGTATTTTGCAACAGTGCCATCTGAATTGAGCTTTAATTTGAAGAGCCACTTGCATCTAATAGGCTTGTTGTCAGGAAGAAGAAGGGTAATGGACCAGGTGTTATTAACTTTCATAGTTGTAAGTTCATCTTGTATTGTCTGCTTCCACTAAGGAAATTTGATGGCTTTCTTGTAAGTTTGGGGTTCATAATTAGCTGAAACTTGACAGAGGTAATGTGTATGAGTTTTGGATAAATTGGAATAGCTGATGGAGTTTTGAATGGGATAAGGGGGAGTGGAATCGATGGTCACATTGTAGCAGTGATAATTAGAGAGGTAACTAGGAGGATTGATAACTCTACTGGACCTTCTTGGGTGAGGTTGTTCAGGGGGAGTTGCAGGAGGTATAATCTGTTGTTGTTCTGTCTTGTTTTGAGTGGTGCTGGTAGGTGTAGGATCAAGATCATCATAAGATTCAGTGTGTATAAGATTGGGTGTGATGTGATTGTTAAAAACATCAAGATTAGGAGAAGAGGAGTTGTTGGTTTGGAATGGGAATATGTTTTCATAAAACTTCACGTCTCTAGAGATGAAGGTTTGATGTGTGACCAAGTTGAGAAGTTTATAACCTTTATAACCATGAGGATACCTAATGAAAATAGTTGTAGTGGCTCTGAGACTAAATTTATGTCTGCTGGATAGTAATGTAGAAGCATAACACAAAGTACCAAAGATTCTGAAATCAGAATAATTAGGCAATTTATCATATAAAAGTTAATATGGGGATTTGTGGTTCAGAATAGGCCTGAGAGTTCTATTCATGAGAAAAACAGCAGTTTTAACACAATCTTCCCATATGGTCATAGGGACGTTAGATTGAAACATTAAGGCACGAGCAATATTCAATAAGTGTAAATGTTTGCATTCAACAACACTATTCTATTCAGGCCTTTCAACACAAGAGAATTGGTGTAGAACACCCTTTTGTAAGAAAAAAAATCTTTGAAATTAAGTTCTGATGCATTGTCAGATCTAAATGTCTTGATTTTAGTATGGAATTGATTTTCAACAAAGGCAAAAAACTAGGGTATAATATGAATACAATCAGACTTATTGTGAAACATGTAAACCCAAGTGAATCTACTCTTATCATCCACCAAAGTCAAGAAATACCTAAAACCATAATAAGTGGGTTGTCTAAAGGGGCCCCATATGTTAGCATGGATTAAATCAAAACAATTAGGACTAAAATTATTAGGATTAGAGAAAGGTAATCTATTTTGCTTAACAATATTCCAAATACTACAGTGATAACTAGAATCAATAGAATTGATATCAGTTTTATTAGCAATCAATTTGTAAACAGAATTAAGCACATGTCCTAATCTCTTATGCCAAGTATCATAGGTAACAACATTACAATAATTGATACAATTAGAAGGAAAAGTGCATGTAGGAAACTCAAAAACCAGTAACCTTTGTTGCCGTTTAGCAGTGCCAATCTTCCTCAATGTCTTCAGGTCTTGGAGAGTGAAAGAGTTAGGTTCCATAATAAATCTAAAAGAATTCTCATTGACTAGAGTTAGAAGAGATAAAAGATTAAATATAAATGTTGGTATGTAAAGCACATTATGAAGGAAAATATCATCATTAATCTTGATACTACCAATACCTTCTACCTTAAGTTTTGTGGAGTTTGGTAAGAGAACATGTGAATCATGTATGGCAATATAAGAATGAAATAAGTGTTTAAAACAACAAATATGAGAGGTTGCACCATAATCTATGATCCATATATGATAATTATTATCGAGAGCAACAATTATACAGATACCTATCACATTAGTAGCAATTGCATCTAAAGTAGTATCGGCGTGCATTTGATTTGTTAGAAAGTTGATTAATTGTTGACACTGATCAGGAGTTAAATTTGAAGTCTGAGAAGTATGTAAGTTGTCAGGGCTACTGTAACGACCTCCGGCTGGTCACTACACTCATAACCACAGCACACCGGAAACACTAGACAGAATAGAACGAGTATATAAATATAGGATCTAGAATATAAATATATACAATGTTCCAATCCGACTAGAGTTAGAGTGTGCAAACGAAATACAACCAAAGTAGCCAGATAGTGGCCCAACAAACAACATCCGCCAAACAAGACTCCTCCATTTGCCAGCTGCAGACTTGCCACTATCACCAGTCTAACCCTGCTCTGCTCCCATACATAGTATGATCATCGCAGTCCAAACCACATGGAAACAACTAAGGGTAAGCTAGTGAAAAAGAAATAACATACATATATCTATATATGAATAGTAATTAGCCACCCCTATCAGCACATCAAATCAACACATCAATCAGCTTAACAAAATCAATTTAAAATATCACAACATTCGGCAATAACACCATACATCTCACATCATCAGCATACCACTCATCAACCATACAACATAACAGCAACAAAACATACAATGCGTCGTCACGCATATAAGTTAGTATTGGTCGCTTGTAATCGGTATAGGTCGACCGGGCTCCTACAACACCTCAGCCTTTCGGCCTACAACATCTCAGCCTTTCGGCCTACAACACCTCAGCCTTACGGCCTACAACACCTCAGCCTTTCGGCCTACAACATCCAATATCAACACACAGTATAACACAACTGTATAGCTCAACATATCAACTCACAACAGTATTCAACTGATACAGCTCAACAAAATCAACTTACGACAGCATACAACTGATACAACACAACATATCAACTTACAATAATTTACAACTGATACAACTCAACATCAACAAGCAGCGTTATCCACAAGTCATCAAATTATAATCAACAGCTTTTACTTGAACTCAACATAAACAACCTCTAACATCCATTAGTGAAGTCACATCTCCGCGCCCGGCGCACTCATGGTTGCGCCCAGCGCAGTGCAACCAGAGAGCACCAGGGGGGCCAGCGCGCCCAGTGCAAGCACGCCCGCGCCCGACGGGACCCAGCCAGAGAGTTCAAGGCTCACTCGCGCCTAGCGCAATACCAATTGCGCCCGGCGCCCACAAGGCAGAGACTCCCAAGGAGTCTCACGCCCAGCGCGACAAGGGTCGCGCTCAGCGCAGCACATCAAAATCAGCATTCAGTACAGATAGGTAGTATACAACACAACTTACTACTCACAACTTAGCTCAGCACGACAATATACATATATATCCATTACAGCGTAGCATTTCATCATCAACAACATAAAACAGCATGATCAACAATTTCACAACGTATGACATGTTCAACACATAATACGACCCAATCCTCTTATTTACAACTCATCTATCTTGTCAAATTACCCACCCAAACAACACCCATCACCCTAAGTACTTAGAACAACTTTCAACCTAACCAAATCACTAAATATGAAATGGCAACCTTCACAGAAATCAGCACATTAGGAGTTATACTACTCCTACCACACTCATCCTTATCTCATATGAAAGATAAAAAGATTTCCTACAACTCTCATGAAGACACCAAGTCCTAATTCTTTCATCCACCTTGTTAAAAATTCTAAAAACCGCAACAGCTATAACAAATGCTGGCGGATTGACCCCTCTCCACTAAAACAGCCATATCTGGAGTTCTAAAACTCCTTTTTGAGTGATTCCAGCGCCATTGGAAAGCTAACATCCAAGGCTACAACTTTTATGAAGACTATAAAGTCAAATTCTGAAAATCAAATTCGCGCCTACAGAGGTCTATTGCGAAGAACTGTGCCCGGCGCAATTCACCCCAGAAATTACCCATTTCAAGTCGAGCCCAGCGCGAAGAACTGCGCCCGGCGCAAATTCAAACGGGAACCCTTACCTACTACGAAAATTTCATCAAAACCTGCGAAAACCAACATAAATCCCACATGCAAACCATCCAAAGTATCACATTTTCATCAATCGTCAAGAAAAACCCCTCATTTTCAACATGCAACCATTAAATCAAGAAAACCCCAAATTTTCACCCAAACCCCGGAAAAACCCGAAAACAAATTTCTTCAATCTCAGCCCAAAATCAACGAATCATCAGTCCACAAATGAGTGTATGAACTCACTTTCAACAAATCATAGCCAAAACTAGTTTCCCTTACCTCGGTTAAGAAATCCGAGCTACGGGAAGACGGAAACGGCGACGGAGACGAAGAAGAGCTCGAACGAAAGAGGAGGAAGAAAAGGAACGTTCGAAATCACAGCAAGTCCCAGCCTTACGGTTCATCACCTTCCAACCAAAGCCACCACAAGAAGAGAAATCAGCCACAAGGAAAAGAAAGAATAGGACAAATGAGAGCTCTTGAGTGAGGGAGAAGAGAGTTGGGAAAAAGAAAATGGAATGGGGCCTCACAGCTACCCGTAACCAGGGCTACCCGTAACCTGATTCACAGTATTGGTTGTACGATTTTTGAAATAATTCAGAGGATATCCAACTATCGTGTAACACTTATCTTTGGTGTGCCCCAACATGTTGCAGTGTGCACATCTGGGCCTTTCTTTCTTGGTGAATTTGCTCTTACTAGTTGTAGGTTGTGAAGAGTTGACAGCAAAGGCAATGTTATCCAAATTAGCAATAAGGGGAGAAGAAGTGACAATTTCACGTTGGGCTTCATCTTGAAGAACAAGAGAGAAAACACTTCCAATGGAGGGTGAGGGGTTTGAAAGGAGAATTTGACCCCGAATTTGAGAAAAGGAGTCATTCATACCCATCAAGAATGACATCACATATTCAGATTCGGTAAATGATTGAAGTTGTTGAAGCCCTCCACAGGTGCATTGGAAGGTTGGTTTGTAGCTAGATAATTCTTTGCAGATTGACTTGAGCTTGGTATAATATGTGCTGATATCATCCATGCCTTGGTGGAGAGACATCAATTGGCACCGGAGTTGAAAGATTGGAGGACCATTCTTTCTTGAGAATCTTGTTTTTAAATCTTCCCAAAATTCTTGGGTAGTAGACGCAAACAAGATGCTAGTAGTAATGTCTTTGGAGACAGAATTGTAGAGCCAAGAGATGATGACGTTATTTGCACGATTCCAAGAAGCAAAGGTAGAATCAGTACTCGCAGCTTTCGAGAGGGTACCATCAATGAAGGCCAATTTGTTTTTCACATAAAGGGCAACCTGCATTGCTCTGCTCTAGGTGGTGTAATTTTTATGATCAAGAGGCTGAGATGTGAGAACAAGGCCACACCCATCTGAATGATGTAGAAAAAAAGGATTGGAGACATCTTGGCTTGGATCTTTTGCTTGATTAGCCAGGAGCGGATAAGGAAATCAATTAGAGTGGCAGTTTGGGTGTTGGGGGAATGGATCTTTGATCGTCTTGAATAGTCTTTCCTGATACCATATTAGAACTGTTGCATGATCAACACTATGATGAGAGGGGGAAGAGAAAAGAAGGAAAAGAAATTGATTGAAAATACATCTGTGTTATTATTTTAGAATGACAAAGTCAATATATATACGAGGGAAGAAAAATAGAAAATAAACAAAAATAACTAATTATATAATTCATATAAATCCAATAAAATTTCATTTAATAATTAATAAAAACATGGCGTATCATTAATTTATACAAATTGATAAATAAAATGTATAAAATAAATTTTTTAAAAAATTATAATGAAAAGGTTGTCACTTCAATTATATATGTTTTGATTTTAATTTACGCAATATAGTTGTATATTATATTTTTGTCAAATATTTGATGAAATTTTGTGGTAATAGATTTATTTTTTACGGTTTAAAAACTAATTTAAAACTTAATAAGTTAAATACCTAATTTGGTCCCTTATAATATTTTAAAGTTTCAATTTAGTCCTACTTTAATTTTTTGTTTCAATTTGGTCCCTAATTTAAATTACTGCAATGTCGGACCTTCTATCTAAATTTCTTAAACGGAGTTAATTGTTAGCCACATAGATGCCACATAGATACATAGGTGGATGCCAAATTTCTTTAATGCATCTGGAACCAGAATGACCTGTTTTGAAACCAGAACGGCCCATTCTGCTTGCACTCGTGGTGTGTTAATGTTGCATCTTGAACGGCCCGTTCCAGAACGCCAACCACATACGTGCGTTCAACAAAATGCAGCAATGTGGTTCAAAGATTGAAAACAAAAATTCAAAAATTGAAATATTGTTGTTGTTGGGGTACATCGGTCAATGACTCTAAGGTGAAACATCATGTCGTTTCATCCTTGACTGTATAGTGCCGATTTGGTAGTAAGGGGTTCACTCCAGTTTGACTAATAATGAAATAAAACATGTCATCATTGTCCTTAGTGATATACTGCATTACATAGCAAGTATTATAATTAATACTTCTAGGAGCTCCTATATCCTGCAATTGGTCTAGAAATGGTGTATAACCCAATTGTTTAGCAATTGAAGTTATAAATTCCTCATTGACAATATTAGCAAATCCAGTGTTTGAAATGCTTTGTACCTTGAGGTCTTTTTCCTTGCACGATTCACAACCGTGATTTAGAATCACGTTAGTAAACTATAATCATTGACCGTTTGTGTTTGGCCTTCTAGAACCAGAATGACCCATTCTGGTTGCACTCGTTGTGTGTTAATTTTGCATCTGGAACGGGCCGTTCCAGATGCAAAATTAACACACCACGAGTGCAAGCAGAACGGGTCGTTTTGGTTTCAGAACGGACCGTTCTGGTTCTAGGTGTATTAAAGAAATTTGGCATCCACCTATACATCTACGTAGCATCCACGTGGCCAAGAGTTAACTTCATTTAAAAAATTTGGACGGAAGGTCCGACATTACAGTAATTTAAATTATTAAAGACCAAATTAAAACTAAAAATTAAAGTGAGACTAAATTGAAACTTTAAAATATTATAAGGGATATTTAACTAACTTAATATATGAACAATTACAATTAAAAGAACCAAAATTACTTAATAAAATACAATTTTTCCTTTTGATTTGTTTATTTAGGAAGTGAGGATTAGCATAGATGATTTGTTAAATATTATAATAATTATCGAGTCTTATTTATCATATAAAAAAATTGGACTGCGAGGTAAAACTTTTTGAAAAAGTAGAATATATACCGATCATATAAAATAACTTTACGGTTATTTAGTCATAAAAATTAATTTAATAAATTCGTCAACTTTTAAAACATAAAAAAGGGATATAAAGGTCATACTACAAAGATCTCGCGTATGAAGACTTTTTTTTAATATATTATTTTATTTATTTACATAATATGGAACGTTTTTTATTAACATGAATGATCTATTTTTTGGTTTAAGTGTGAAATTGATTACTAGGTAATCGATTTTTCAATGAATTTTAATTTTTTTTTAAAAAAGTTCATTGAGAAATTGATTACCATTTTTCATGGTTTTTTTTTATTATTTTGTTTTTTGTTTTCTGATTTTAATTTATATTAATTTTCAGAATTTGAAAAACAAATTTAATATTTCTAAAGAATAATTATATTTTTAATAATGAAATTAACATTATACTGATTTTTAAATTTTATTTTAAATTTCAGATTTTAATATTATACTTATATTTAAATTTTTAATTTATTATTTAAATTAAATTTATAAAATATAGAAAATTAAATAATGTAATTTAATAATTAATTTTTATATTTGTAAATATGTATAATTTATTTAATATATTTATTTTACATTAATAATTATAGATATTTTTATTAAATAATGATAATATTATTTTATTATATATTAAAATTGGTAAAAAAAACAAAATTATTAGAATGAAAAGAAAAATTAAAGTTACACAACATGATATTTGTGAAAGACACAATAATATCAACCAAAATTGATATATAAACCACGAAAAATTGTCAATTTAAACTTGTTAACTTCATTATTAAAATATATATTATTTTTTATATTTTATTAACGAATTTTAAATTAAATTATCTCTATTTTTTTTATAAATAAATTTCTATTTTTATAAAATAAGTAAGTTTTAATATTATCTATTTTTAACATAAATTTAAAATATTATACATAATTTTTTAATTTTATATATAATTATAATATTAGTTATATAAAAACAAAAACATATAATTTAATTATAAAAAAATATTTTCAAATTCTGAAAATTGTAATATTTTAAAAAAATTTAAAAGACAGAAATCAAAAAATGCAAAAAAAAGAAAAGGACCAATAAAAAATCGGTTACACAATAACCAATTTCTTAATGAATTTTTTAAAAAAAATTAAAAAAACTTCATTGAAAAATCGGTTATCAGATTTCTCATTTAGGCAAAAAAAAAAAAAGAATTATTCAGATAGAGAAAAAACGGCTCAGGTTATTTGAATAAATAATAATAAAAAATAGTATATTAAAAAAAAAAAAAAGTCGCGTATGGTCATCCCTTCTCTCTCTCTCTTTCTCCTCCTTTCTCTTCTCTATTTCCGTTTTTTAATAGTCTTTTTTCCCCTTCTCCTTTCTCTTCTGTGTGGGGTGCTGCCTTTGGGATTCTAGGGGGCGAAAGCCCTTGTTGAGCCTCAAGGGTGGTCCTTCAAAAATCGCTATAATTACGACTAATTATTTTTACATTATATAAAACACTTATTAAAAGATAAAAAAAGGTATTTTTATTATCTAATTAACTTTTATTACTCTAATTTTGAGATATTACAAAACAAACCAATTCTCTCAATCAATCTGAACCAACTTATTTTATTTGATATGGATTATAAAATTCATCATGTCAATCCAAACTAATAAACACACCGCAACAATTTCAAAAATTCCCATTCGGTTTTTTTTCTTAATAATGAATAAAATGATATGCTGAATATCCTTAAATCAAACACCATCATCTACTTAATTAATCAAAATTCAATATCCAATTTAATCCAAAACTTAACCTACCAAATTAAAACGAAGAATTTCACCGGATTTTGCCTTTCTCTTTTCCTCATGGCCTATGGCCTTATACAAATAGAATATATTAATTAAATATCAAGTGTTTTTAAAAACAAAAAATCCTCTAAAAATTTAATCCAATACACCACTACAATATTTACATATATATATATATATA